TGGTGAAATCGATTAGGTAAAGATTTGTCCCTTTTCCCCTGTAGTGTTTGGAAAATGTATTGACTTTGCAATACTTATTCTAAAAGTTGTTTTTACTGTGAAAAAATTATTTTTATTTCACCAGCGTTTACACACACCAAACGTGTTATCTATATTCTAAAGGTTTTTACAGAGGATGTGGTCTTATATCATCTTATCATCATTACATCATATTTTATAAATCCATAAAACATGGCGCCAAAAGTATGCAAATTAGCAACTTGTGCTTCATTTGCATAATTACACATACAATTTCCTAAAACTTGTAATGTTAAAGAAAACTGTTAATTTTGCTTTTGGGGTTTTACCTTTCCTGTGTGTTGTATAGGTTTGTGTGCGTGTAAATAACACAATGACATCACTATGTAACACTCATTTCTATTGTCTAGCGCTCAAACACATTGTTCACATAGACTGTTGTTCAACACATTGGGGCAGGGACATGCGGTTAACCAATCACAACAGAGCAGAGCAGACTGGACTCTGCAGAACAGGCAGTGTGAGAAAAATAAAGACCTTATTGAACATTAAAGCATGGAAACATGTCACAGAAGAGGCATAAAATACAAAAAAGAACCTGAAAATGTGCATTATAGGGCTCCTTTAAAAATGTAACCATGGGTGTTTTAGCTTCAAAAGGGAAACCTGTATTGGCATTATGTTTAAATTATGATGAAAACAATGTTGTATTCCTGTTGACCAACACTGGATGTGTGTATTATGAAGCAAGTACTGCAGTATGAGGTGTTCCAATTTATCTGTGAGACAGTTTGAGTTGAGCCACGCCCACACTGCTCTGTGTTCTGCTCTATAAATGTTACCATGATATAAGCCTTGTTTCCACGCGTCCACATGAACCATAAACACACACACACACACACACACACACACACACACACACACACACACACACACACACACACACACACACACACACACACACACACACACACACACACACACACACACACACACACACACACACACACACACACACACACACCACACACACACACACACACACACACACACACACACACACACACACACACACACACACACACACACACACACACACACACACACACACACACCACACACACACACACACACACACACACACACACACACACACCACACACACACACACACACACACACACCACACACACACACACACACACACACAGGCACACCTCATCATCCCCACAGTTAATTGACTGGATCATCGGTCATGTGTTCAAATACATTAAGAGAGCAGCCTCCATTTAAAAACAAGGTCCAGTAACAGGAATATACCTACAGGCTGAGGTAACACATTAGTAGAAGCACATTTTGAACACCTGAGGCAACTTATACTGTACATATCTGTCCATGCTATTTACTTTGACTTTGAAGTCATGTAGTGTGAAGGCACTGTTGACCATATATAAACATAACAACAAATTGCAGCTAAAGCTCAAGTCACATTCTGTTTGTAAAATGTTTCCTACCCTAAGCCCAGGAGAAGTTTAGGACATGTTTATTAGAGCCATCACAGAATTGATTTAGTCTGTAAGAGCAAGAGGTAGACCTAGGACTAGGCGGAGTGATTATATCTCTTCGCTGGCCTGGGAGCGCCTTGGGATCCCCCAGTCAGAGCTGGTTGATGTCGCCAGGGAAAATAAAGTTTGGACCACGGATAAGCGGGAGAAGATGGATGGATGGATGGATGTAAGAGCAATGCTGCAGTTTGCAGTCTGGTAGGTTAATGTTTCTAAGATGGTGATGACTCACCCCTGGAAAAAGGAAACACTGTGTATCACATCTTCATGGTCAAATGGATGTGTCTGTTGTGCATGCTGTCATATAAGATAGTGGGTTTTTGTGGTGACTAACCCAAATCATTTGCAAATGTATGTGTAGAGTTGTCAGTTGTCCATCTGTTGAAACTGGTCTCATATCCCTATATTGCAGAGGTCATTGTGAGGCAGTGGATGTATGTACAAAAAGCAATGGATTATCACACCACTGATTAGGGTAAGTCTCCCACATTTAAGATTGAAGTTACAAAAATATAAACGTGTGCTTAAAGTCAAGACGACAATCTTACTTTAACCACACCCAAATCCTTTGTGTGGCCTAAAGGTAACCAGAAAAGTAATGTCTTAGTTGTCACAAGTGAATACTTTAGGTCAAACAGTGTTTTAAAATGTTTTCAGTCAACAACATTTTCAACAAATATAAATGTTTCCTCATCATGTGTTTGTCACGTTGACATTGCTAAATATACAGTATTTATTCATTAATGTCAAATGTGTAGGAAATAAAGAGTTTTTAAGGGAACTGCTTATTTCTTGATTGTGTAAATATATTTATGAAAGTAAAATGAGATTTGTAAGTCTTCTAAAATGTTATGGGAGGCGTGTGGTGCAGTGGATGTGCGTTGGTGTTCAGATCAGGGGGTCACAGGTTCAAACCCCACTGCCGTCAGCATGTCGTTGTGTCCCTGAGACACTTCACCCCAAATTGCTCCTGTGAGGATTGTCCACAGTATTGAATGTATGTAAGTCGCTTTGGATAAAAGCGTCTAACAAGTGACATGTAATGACTGTAATATTAAGGGAGTCTTAAATGTTTAACTAAACATATGCACTCAGATTTCTGATTATGCAAAACATCTGAAATGATGTATTAAGAATCGTATTCGACTTTGTAAAGATCCCCAAATGATCAAATGTGTAAGAATAGGACTACTTTATTTTATATTGAGGCGACACAATTGGTAAATGTAATGCAATGAGTTTTCTAAATTGAACTGTGGTTTAGGAAAATGTACAGAGATTTCATAACATTTGATACTTCATGACACAAAACGTCCTCATCAGAGTAAATGTTTTTGAAGGCTACACAGCTACACCCTTGCCTGCTTACTGGCTGACATTAGCTAGCTGCCCAAATGCACTAACTTTAAGAGGGTCACACTAATCCCTTTGTCTTTAGCAAGGACTCCACACATTTACATTTAAGTCCCGGACTTTCCTAAAACATTTACAAATGACTGAACAAACTTGAGAAAGAGAGAGAAAACACATACACAGAAATGCATACACATAATAATCACACACACCCCTCCCAGCCAAGAGGGTCATGCATGGAATGAGAAGTGTGTGTGGAGGCCGATAAACCATGAGAGTGCCTATCTGCCACCTTGCATAAATCAGATAGCTGTTGTTTATGCCCTTCGGAGCAAATGTTTACGTTACTGCTTTGAAATGCCGCAGCATCATTACCGTCACTGCCTCTCTTCCACAGAGTGGCTCCAGGTCACATGCAGCTCTCTCAGCTGGTCACTGATTACAATCTGGGTGTGTTTCTATGATACCAGATCCTTCCTTCCTTATCTCCTCCTTCCTTTCCTTAATTCCTTAGGGACGCTGACCACAGCCTTTTGCCTGCACCCTCTTTCTAATAACCTGTTCTTTCTCCCTCTGTCCCTCTCTTCCCTCCATACTCCTTGCCATCCTTAATACCTTCTATAAGCCCTCCACCTGCCTGTACTCTTTCTTTCCATCAATCATTTATTTCTCCATTTGTCATGTCCTTCCTTTCTTCCTTACCTCCTTTCTTCCCTACTCCTTGCCATCCTTTCCTCCATTTCTAGACCACCTACACCTGTTTGTTCTTCATTCTTCATTCCATCAATCGTTTCTTTATCCATCTGACCCTTCCTTCCTTCCTTCCCTACTCCTTGCCATCATTTCCTTCTTCTTTCTGTATTTTTTTCATATCTCTATCTGTCTCTCTCTTCCTTCCTTTCTTCCTTTCCTACTCTTTGTAATTATTTCCTTTAGCCCCCCCATGCCTGTCCTTGTTGTTGTTTTATTTAGTTGTTTATATCTTCGTCTGTCTTTTCTTTCCTTCCTTCCCTTACTACTTCTCATCCTTTCCTTAATTCCGTCTCCCAATCCCTTGACCTGCCTTTTCTTCTTCTTTCAGTTAATCGTTTCTTTTTCAATATATCCGTTCTTTCCTTCCTTCCTTGTTCAATCAATATTCAATCTCTTCCTTGTCATTCAAAATAATATACATTTCCTCATGTCCGAGACCAGCTAATCACAATTTGTAATCCATCAAAATAACCTTTAAATGACCCCACTTGACAAAACATCCGCACAAAGACCTTTAATACACTTCAATCTTCACATAAAGAAGTACAGCAGCAAATACATGAATGCCAAGTCAGTATAACTTTTCATTCATAGCACAATTGGGTTAAAGCAAAGGTTTCCAGACTTATCCGAATGTGCACATGGCAATGAGGGGTTATTATTATCAGATGCCAGGTCAAATCCCCCCTGCCTGAAACCGCTCTCTGCCCTCTGTCTGAATAATCCAGTGTTTGCCCAGGCCCTCCCTGAATGACCCTCCACCCTCTGCGAGCAGCCCGCACACAGGGAAACAAGATCCGGTAAACAAATTATAATCAGTTTTGGTTTCCTGAAATCACGACTCAAGCCTCAAAACAACATTTGCATTAATCAAAATGCATCTCCCGCATTCTTCTGCATTTAATTGTGTTGGTCTCGTTATTGCCAAACTAAGTCGTGGATGAGCTTTATGAGCCATCATGTCGAGAGAGCAAAACAACACATCGGAAACAACTTTGAATTTATAATTATTTCGACACCTTTTTTTTTATTTCGACTATTTGGTCATGATTAAAATGTGATAAATTGAAAAAGTTACGACTGATGATCAATTACAACGGATAATGGCTGGAAAACGTAATTGGCTTTACGCACAGGATTTATTCAAAAACAATATGAAGACACATTTATATAATCGCGTTGAATTGAACCATAAACACATCAAGTTAATTGCTCCGGCTAACCTCTAATTAACTACACTTTTAAGAAAATATTTACTAAAAACATTAACTCTACATTATATTTACGACAACATTGGATAAATCTTACTTACCTTGCGCCATCAAACCCACGATAAGAAGCCGCAAAGTCCATCTCGCCGCCGGCTGCATCTCTCCTCCGTGTCGCTTGAGGATCCTAGACTTTTTTACAGTAGAAAGTGCTGTTGGTTTGACGGATGAGCGGTAGAAATAATCTGTAATGGCATGAAACAAAAAACCGCGCGCTGACTCTCCCCTGGTGCCGTGTGTCTCGCTCTGCCGGTGCGCTCCTTCCTGATCTGATCCGAACTTGACTGACTCGTCCCTCCCATATGAGCGCAAAGCTCCCCTCTGGCGCATCCACACAGCGGGGAGGGAAAACGAGCCGCCCTAAACAACTGCTCTGTGGGATTATAGGAGTAATTTCATCCCGTGAATCACAGGAGAACATTCATGCAGATCAAAACGACCTGTGCCTAAATTCTGGAGGAATGTTTGGCGTCTAATTAAAGGCAAGATTTGCGCATGTAAAATAGCCACTAGTAATATTGAAAAGCCCCTTAATGTGTTTTTGGTAGAGCCAGTGAGATCAGTAACCATTATTTTTTAAATAGAGTAATTTTGCGAAGCTTTTTTTTTTAAGATTTCCGGCTGATTTAGAAAGTTCTAGTGTTATAGAAAACGCAGGTTTTATGATCTCAGCACCACGGCCAGTGCCGCTAATTTACATTGTGTGTTGTCCATGGTGCTGAGATGAGCTACTTTAGAGGGGTATTTCATACATTATCAGCATTTAGCAACATGTGCTGCTCCACGAGACAATAAGATGTTGAAAAAATATGTTAGTGAGCGTACTCTAATGAGTTCAAGCATACTCTTTACATCACTTAATGCACAGGGAGCATGCCGTGTCTTTCCCCAGCCACTAAACTGCAGCACTGCGCTGCGCTGGAGGAAAGTTTAGCTGCTCCGAATTATACCCGTGCTTTCTGTCTCACTGACAGGCTCATCCCGTGATAAATGTTCCGCAGGTAATCCGATCGCCCTGATTAAGTTTAATTTCAGCCCGCGGTTTCTTCCCTGCTTGGTTTGACGTCATCAAACAGAGTAATTAAACAAGTAGCCTGATGCTTAGCAGAGCTGAGCTGAACCGAGTCGACACACACACACAGAATATTTTGTGTGGGTGGAAAGTCAACGACAGGAAGGGGGGGGGGGGACACATTAGGCTCCATTGGGGGAACAGTCATCAACCCCCCTGTTTAAAGGGGAACACATGAAGAATTCCTCTTCGGACTATGTTAGTTCAATCAATAATTGGCCATGTAAGTCTGAAACGTGTGATGTTTTACATTGAACACATCTGGAGCTGTTCAATTGACAATTAATAAGAGAGTGTTTTTTATTGGAAGATCTGAATGTTAGCTTTCATTTTGTTTACCAAAACTAGCTTTAGTTTTTTTGTCGGCTCCTCAATTCTTAATCCGAAAATGTCCTTTGGCTCTCTCAGTGTCCATATCTTAACCAATGAATAACATGTATGCATTATGAAATCAAGATAGATAGTCAATAGTTTTCCATTAAGTTATAAAGGGTTTCATTAATGAATTAGTTGTATTCTTCTGTACAGCAGAGGCAGATGGTCAGAGTAAAAGGCCACTATATATTCTCCAAATGCAAAATAAATAAATAAAATCCTCTATATTTTCTCTTTTATGCCTGGCCCCTACCCTTTCACACTACATCCCCCTAATACAAAATCCACTTACACCAATGAGTCACTAAACCACAGTGCCAACCATCAAATACACCCATTATGGACCGCTGTATCGTTCAGTTAGCTGGCTGCCTGGCATTGGTCCCCATGCGGAGGACCAGGGTTCGAATCCGTTCAAGTCTGTATCTACAATAAGGGCACTGGTTAGCCAAAAAAAGAGAAAGAAATACACTCATTATAATCAATTGTAATTAAGTTTATTTGATCTTGTTTAGTTAATTAACAAGATAATAAAAAGACAGATGAAACAGGATGGTGTTTTGCCTCAGGTAAAACTACCAGATGTGCGATGTAAATATCCTGTGAGAATATGTGTTTGTATAATATGCTCACACACACTCACACACACACACATTTGATGCCAGATCTTCCGCTTCACCCTAAGGCCATATCACCAGGATAAACACAATCAACCTTCACAACAATGTCTGTGTTTTGTCACAACAATCTCTATCCTCTCATTTCAGCACATGTAAAAAGCATCAAAACACGCATTCCTCTCTTCCTTATTTAGATATTGGAAGGAGTTTACCGAGTCTAATCCCGGCTGACAAGCTCTGCATAAAAAGGATAGATGAGGGAAAAACAGAATAAGCATGACGGGGATAATGTGTTTTCGCTGTTGCTGGTGTCGCCATCTGACAAGTGTTGAGCTCACAGTGTGGCGTCATGACACGCTTCTTCGCCGGCCTTATTAGTGTGGCGGTTTAGAGCAGGAACTAGGTTAGAATCAATGTTTCTGCCAGGGTTGTTTAGCGTGACGCACTGTGCCGCTCTGCCCTGCGCCATCTTTAATTCATGTTTTTTTTCGTAAAAGCTGCATGCACTGAGCCCAAAAGCCATTAGTGTCATCCTCTTATCCCTCCACAGCGTCATCTCCCCATTTTGACTTCCTCCTCTTCCACCCAACAATACACCAACTTTATTTGTCAACATCTGTCCTCTTCTGGTTTTGCTGCATTGTCCTTACTTCCTCAAAGCATTTTGCCATTCCATGCTCTCCCTCTGCGTTCTCCTTTCACCTCACATACCTCCAACATGCTTTCCCCCCCTGCACCTGCTCTCATTCATCCGGCGTACACTGGTGCCATCTTTCTGCCTCAAGTGAAACACAACATATAAAAATATCTATCTCCCCTCGCTAGAACTTTTAGACCATCTTGAATTATTCACGTCCGCATATCTGCAGCACCACATCCCCTGGCCCCCGAGAGAAATGCTTTTATTTTCAACTCCATGTAATGAAATCTGGATGGGCTTTTTTATTCTCCCTGGCATGATCGTCTCTCTGAGGTGGGGTTTAATGGAGCGGAGGTGATCGGAGGCTTCTGGAAGCTTCCAGGAGGAAGGACAGTAGATATCATGTCGTCCCTATGTGAAGAGAGAAGAAATAAGGAGTGTTGTTGGAGCGAAGAGAAAAGGTTTTGCAATATGGACAGAGCTGAAGGCATGAATTGAGTGCTGCTGCATCCAGGAAAGGCATCAATCACACGCCAAACAATAGTCCAATCTAATAATGGCTGCACTTAGATTCAATTCATAACACTGGAATATGTCATGGCTATATAATACCTCTACCAATGATGCATTTTCTGAAATACAGTTACAAATACGCTTTCTACTTTTAGAGTAAAAGCCGCGCCCCCTAAAACATTTTCTGAAAACAAAGAGTCAGGATTATTGCACATAATGGTGATGTCGTAAAAAAGCTTATTAGAAAAGAGAATCAATACATCTTTCTGATCGATATTGCTTTGCACTTATGGCCCGGCCTACATTACTCATAATGTAATATATTTTTGTTTGTTGCACTCTGGTTAACTCTTTCTGGTGGTCAGTGTTATAATATAGAAAATATTACTTAAGGAAGAGATGCTAAGGGTTTTTAATAATGTTTTCAAAGTGTTGTAAGGCAGAATGCTTCACTGGGACAAGATAACATATTAATAGGGCATCGTATTGATGTTGTCGGTTATTAAGTGTGAAATATGTAACTAACTACCAAAGATACTTCAACAAAAGGTATTTAAAACAAGTCACTTTTCAATATATCTGAATATAAAAGGATGCCTACATGATGTGTTTCAATAAGTCACCATGGAGACGGGTTACTATATATCACATGGTGGAGCAGGTTGCTCATTATTTGTATATGGAGGGGAGCAGTACTTGGTGTCATCGTCCATGAGAAGGACAATACATTCAAAACTGGCTCCCCATATTCATGCATGAGACACTTGAAAAGTCGCCATTGGAAACATTTTGAAAAGGGCAGGTGATTGGACACATCATTTGTAAATCAATGTACTGGAGAGACAGGTGGTAAAAGAGTGAAAACAGCTTTTTCAACAAGATAAAACCTTCAGTGACAATCTTTGCTATTCTTTCACTGAAGAAATACTGTCCAGTTCGGATATAACTGATTCTATAGCAGAAGCCATGCTAACCACTTAATGAGACGGTATTTTTAGCCTCACCTTATTACGTCATTTACATAGAGCGCTGGGCTATGACATTTCGTAATGGCAAAACCGTGGACATCTTCCAGGTCCAAAAAATTAAATAACCATCATCAAGCCCGAGACCTGGTTGGTGGGAAGGAGGGTTCATGCCCTGCTTATTGGAGAATTACCGGGAATCAGCTTCAAGGATTTTAATGTGATCTTTTGATTTTGTAAAAATACAGCTGCCTCTCAAGGTAACATCACATGGGCTATTTCAATGGTGGCCTAATTGCAGCCTTGGAATCCAAAGTCCTTACCTGAGATCAATCTTGTGTCCAGGTTTTTAATTCTAAATCAAATTAGAAAAAAACAGAAGCAATCAACACCTAAGTTAAGTGTAAATTCAGACCAGCAAAAGCAACCTCAGTAAAGATGTCGTATAAATGATAACAACACATCTGGTTGTGTCTATATATCAAATGACATGAGGTCTGCCAAAGAAGTAATGTTGTTCTTCATCAAAGGATTATCAGCTTAAGGTACACACACAAGTCAACAGGTGGAAGAGCACACACACACACACACACACACACCTACACAAACACATCTGTTCATTTGTCTGATTAAGGAAAGCATTCATTTGATGGACTCTGCCCACGTAGCTCTATTATAGCTGCACAGTGTGAGCGTGCTGTTGTGTAGTAGCTCAGTGCACCAACATAGAGATGATTTACAGGTACCATAGTTTACACTGGAGCCCAAACATACACACAGAAACACACACAAGCTGGTCTTGAAAGACTAATATCCTCTGGGACAGGAAATGTCATATGGTCAGGTACGTATAGTAAAAAAAATGGGTTAGCTTATGCTGACTATAAGACCAACTAATCAAATTGGGGACGCCCCAAATTGTATATAAAACTCCCGACCGCTAGTTTAAAGTCCTGAAAAATGGCCCCATATGTGGCGTTTTCACATGCACACATGCAAATCACTGTGCACCATAGGTCTGAGCCCAAGGAGATTGCAAGTCAGGGATTGTAAACTGACGTATAAATCTAAAAT